TCAAACGAACTAAAAATGAACAATTGCTTTACTCCGAATTGCCGCTATTTGAAAGTGAAAGTAAAATGCGCACGCCGCTTTTACAAGCTATTTAAAAGAGAAGGAAAGCGAGGAAAAGAGGGAACGCCCCCACCCCAACGGTGATACCGGTATTACCGGTTTTGTCACACGTCGATTAACCGGTGGGAAAATTTCCTCACCGTCACAACCCTAACTCGAATTTAATCGAAGAATCGTAGACAGCCCTAGACGTAATTATGGATGAAAAACTTCTCAGATGACCTGCCTTTGGATCATGTGTCATAAAGTAAATTTAAGGCTCTGAATTATGACTCCCTTCAACTAACTCAAGAGATTCCTTCAGATCTGTGTTCAAATACATATTTCAAAAACAGATGGTGCATTTGAACATACCATGACACGACTTTCAGCAATGCACAGTCCAGAAGAGGGAGAGGACTCAGACCCGCAGCATTCAAGCTGTGAAAGAAGAACAAAAATGTCAGAAGACGATGACGATACTGCCACTATAGTCACAGATCATTTACTAACTGCCTGTAAAACAAAAGCTCGCCTTACCACATTGTGATACATGGATACAATAGCAGTCCCATTGCCATTTTCCATAGAAGACTGGTAATAGTTTTGGACATCTTGAATGATCTAGAAACATGTGAGAGTATCTGATCATATCACATCATTAGATGACAGATGTTCATATTTACGTTCAATAAAATGATTGATACAGTGTGTGACATACCTTATCCTTATTTAGAAAGCCAAAGACTCCAGCAGCAACCTCTGCGCCAAAAATTACAAGAAGGCAAGCGAAGAACTAGACAACAAAGAGACTTCACTTTAGTTTGTCAATACTAATTGCAAATCAACAGTATTATATCACAGGATATCAATAGGGTTATTACTTATTTTATTTTATAATTTTAACTGATGGGCTGTGCACAATCAGACCAGAAACATGTATTGAGAAAGTAAACAGGGTCCATATTAGGGACGTAACAATTCACTCAACTCACAATGCGATAGGATTCACGATACTGATTGCATGGTTTTTTTTGTTTGTTTTTTTTACAAAATGAGATTTAAGACCATTTATAACTAAATAACCAATTTAGACCAATAACTAAACTGATCCCAATTAAAAAAAAAAAAAATACAAATAAAATAAATCTCTTCATATAAACAAACTAAGGCTTAGCCTGTGCTCTTTCTATTAAAATCTAGCAGAGCTTAAGGTCAGTTTTATTCTTGAAGAAATCACAAAAGTGGTGCTTTTAAGCAGTCACAACATTCAGTGTGCATGTAGGCTGTAGATGGGGATGGTGGAACAGTAGGCGCGTTTCCATTACCCTTCAAATTGCGCAAATTGAAATTGCGAATTGAAAATATGCCTAATGGAAATGCCGTCATTTCGCAATACTTTTTTATCGACATTTATAAAATATCGCCAAAGTTTTGCGCAAATCTGTAATGGAAACGCGCCTAGTGTTTTGTTCATTTACTGTTGCGTAGTTCTTACTCACCGAACCCAGAAGACACTGAGACTCCCTCATGGCCCCGAAGCAGCCGAAGAACCCCACCAACATCATGACGCCTCCCGCTCCGATCAGGATGTACACCGCTGAGGAGAAGCCAGGAGTATAGTGTAATGTTTAGAGTTAGTCTATTGAAAGTTGAACTTCAGTCCACAAACATCCCAGCATGCAGTTCACTGTATGACCAGATGATGGCAGAACATGAAAAGACCTGTGTAATGAAATCATCTGTTCATTTTCAACTGCAAAATGTGAGTATGTGGATGTTAAATGTGGATATAGTGGTTTTCAACCAAAGGGCAAATAAATTAAAATAATATTTTCTAGTTATGTTTAGCTCTAAGCTGCAAATTAGCATATACTATATTCTCTATGTACAATGGATATTTTTCAGCTTTTCGGCTGGATTCATGTTCTTTGTACTGTCCCTATCTATCTATCCATCCATCCATCCATCCATCCATCCATCTATCTATCTACCTAAATAAATAATTAAATATTTTATTTTCATGTAAAAACTTCTGAGAAAATTCTATTTGTGAGTAAAAATAATTACAGTGTTATTTTATTATTATTTATATACTATAATAGTTTTCTATTAATATTTTGAATTAGTATTTATTTTCAGATTTCAATAAAAATGACATTTTTAGTAAGTTTTTGTTATGTTCTTTTGTAAAAAAAAATTCTGGGCCTTTAAAAAATTACTATTTAGGTTTAATTTATTTTTATTTCAGTTTTATTTTTAGTTCAGTTTTAGTTTTTATTTATTTACAGTTAGTTATTTTAGCGCTTCAACACCAAGGCTACTTTTTTTTTTAGTTTTTCATCTAATATTTATATTTTATTTTATTTCAGCCTCATTACAATTAACAAAAATGTTTATAATATTTTTATTTTTAGTTAACATTAACAATCCTACATTCATTGGTCATAAAGAGTACTTTATGTAATTATTTTAATTTTAATTATGTATGATAATGATTTTAATATATTGCCATTTCTAGTTTCTGTAAATAAAAAAATGAAAACAAGCAGCTTATTCATTACCTTAAAGGATGAAAAAAATGGCTGATATAGAGAACTATTAGGTAAAAGACACATGAACAAACCTTTATTATTAAACTTCGATGTGCAATCTAGTTCTCTCTGTTACTTTGCAGTGTTCTAGGATCACTGATGTAAAACCAGTCTATCTCAGCATTCTCACTTCATGATGGTTTATGAATGTGGACCCAGGTGTACTTTTAGATGATTGAGAATGAAAGCAGCTGATTCTAATTTTATAAAGGTTCTGTGGGCATTTCCTAACAGACAGTCAAAATCAAAATCACCCTTATGTGTTACGGTACTTTCCCACACAATGCAAACTACAATCCCACGCAAAAGCACAAGGCATAAAACACTTCTGTGGCTAAAATAAGTGCAATTTGTATCTGGTAAATATTGCGTTTCACATGATACCCAAATCTACATCTGAAATGTCTTTAGTTAAATAAGAAGTCTGAGTTATGCTGTGTTTAATATGTAAATAAAAGATCCCAGTGTTAACTATTCAAATATCAAATTAAAATAATAATGTATAAATAATAGAGGTGTAGCGATACACGTATTCGTATTGAACCGTTCGGTACGAGGCTTTCGGTTCGGTACGCATTACAAACCGAACAATTCGTTGGAGTAATCCTATTAAATTTGGGGGGAAAAAAGAGCTTAAAGTGTGTGAAATATAATGTACTCCAGGTTGTGACGGTGAGGTAGTTCGTTAGAGTTTTCCCTCTTTTCCTCGCTTTTATTCGCTTTTAAGTAGTTTGTAAATGCTTGTGCGCATTTTACTTTCACTTTCGAACTAGCTGCATTTTGGCGTCAATTGATTGAATTGACAACATCAAAAGAGTACGACAAACTCACTTACATTAAACATAGAATGTTTCATTTAGTAACAAAACCAATACAAATACATCATGCTATAGGCCTAATATAAAATAACAAATAACTTACACAAAGTTTAAATATAAAACACTGAAAATCAGCAAACACGGTGGAACCAAATAAATAAAAAACAAATGTTAAAAAAGTTTCAAAATCATCTTAGATAAACGACAAAAGTCAAAAGGCCTTCCAAAGTCTAAAATATTTTTAAGATCATATGATACTAGTCTTAATAATAAAAATCAAGGAAATTTGTCTGGCATTTCTTTGTTTTTGCTGTATCGAAAACATACCAAACCGTGA